AACAGTTGGAACTGACGGATGGAACAATTCAAAAGCTATGCCACAAAGGCCAGTGGCTACCAGTAGACAAACTGCAATGGAACACAATATCATGCTCTAACTAGTTGTTGAAAAGATTCTGGATTGGCTTCTTTACAGAAGCTTTCACAAACTCACCAGCCGTGTAATGACCTAGTGGCCTTTGCACATCTTGAAGCTTCACTAGAAGAAATTTAATTTCATTAATTTGAGTAAGTAGTTTAATCAGCAGTTGAAAGCTCTAAGTAAGCCTAATTTTACACTTTGGAAAAGTGCCTGCTTTCACTCAGACCAAATGGAAAGCTCCCTAGTCAGTTCCCATTAACAACTATGAGAAAATCACTGTCAGTTATTTATTTTCCCAGTACAGTGGGAACAGTAGGGAACATGATTCTAGTGAATGAAGTATGCACATTTTCAGGAAAACAGGTACAAGAGGTTTGGAGCCAGAATCACTTAAAAGTGCCAGTATTTTGTTTTGTTTATACATTAGATATGAATAGAAGAGAATACAGTATATGCAGTCGAACTGTGGAGTCCTTGGTGCTCTCTGAGCTTGGTTGTTTGCTTGCAAATGTTTCATTGCCCAACTAGGTAACATCATCAGTGTTAGTGAGTGAGTATGTTAGATATCTTTTACAAGCACAGTGGCCTCTCCTGTGTGGATAAACCCTCCCAATTTCAGATAGATAAATCATGGGATTTTAGTGTAAAGGGAGTTTTAACAATTTGAGGATAGTAAAAACAGATTAATTAAGCCCCAGAGTGGGCAAAGTTGGTGAATCTCTGAGCAGAGAGTAGATTAGGCATCCTTCTCCAACTGTCCTTGCAAAAATGAATGGATTTACATACTGAGTCCCATGAGTTGCAAGCAAAGTCTCGTTATTTCCAGTGACATTTCTCAAGATAAAGGAAGAGGAGATAGGCGTGATAGAACAATCCAGAGCACTTAAATAATTCAGAGAAATGGGTGCAGTGTCAAAGAGTTGCCAGCAAACTGTCATGGACATGGTTGTTCCTTTATTGCAAGGAAAAAGGTGGGTGGAGTTATTATTTGGCTTAGTGGGTCCAGAGGTGGGTTGACAAATTTGCAGATGATTTTCAGCATATTTCATATTTCATGCATGCTCCATCTCATCTAAGTAGGCTGCATACGTTTCAGCTGGTAAGGCCAGTTAAGCTCATGTAGCAATTTCTGCACATCTTGGCTTCCTTTGCCTGGATGAGTCTTAAGCAGAAGTGGTGGCAATCTCTTTTAAAGAGGCACTGAACAGTCCAGTTCTGAAGAAAGTAAGATACCAAAAGTCAGTTATCAATGTCCCCTTCCTGGACCAAGACATGATCATTAACTGTACTCACTTCTGAACAAACTGGATTCTCCAGATTTATTTATTCTCTTGGATTTCTCTGTGGCACTCAGGGCTACCAGCCATTATGGTTTTCTGAATTGGCAGTGCAAGGTCTGCACTATTGTGGTTCTCCTCCTACCTGGATGACTGATTCTAGAAGGGAATATAGGGAGGATATTGACTTATGGTGGTTAAGATTCAGATGCTTAACCCCCTCTAAGCTTTTCAGCATATACAGTATATGAGACCATTGGGAGCGATTCTCCAAAGATTCCAGTCAAGATGTCACCATTATGCAGATGATACCCAGCTTTATTTGTTTGTGCAATGAGGGAGCTGATGTTCTTATGGACTGATGTTTATCATATTTTGGAGAGGGTTCATTCCCCCAAAAGAGATGTAAGGAACTTGTGCCTCCAGGTATTGCTGAGTACTTGTAGCTCCCCACATCTTTCCCCACTGGTGTTCTTGTTGGAAACAACTGGAAAATATTTCCCAACCAATATAGAATGGTGTTCTCGGGTCCATAATTGTCAGTAAGGTTCAGTTAGCTTCATGAGTTGAGAGCAACTTTGATCAGCCTGAACTGATGTGCCAACCACTCCTCTACCTGAAGAGAGATGATCTTGCAATTGTTACTTATGTTCTGATAATATCCATTTAGTGTATCGTATATGGGGCTGCCTTTGAAAACCAGAAACTTCTGGTAACTCAAAACTGCTCAGGTGGAGGTCAAATAGAAATTGACCAATACAGTCAACGAAACTAGCCCATCTCTGGACACATTTGAATAGCTGTTTTTAAACTTTAAAGTAATAACTGACTGAGGACCAGACAGTTAAATCTAGGTTCAGTCCTGGTAAATAAAAAATAAGTTAAAAGATAATGCTTAAAATTCAGTCCATCAGTATCTCTCAGGTAGACAGTAGCTGTTAATCCATTTTGACAGCTGTCAGACAAAATGAAGCTTCTTTACTAGAGTCCTGGTCCTTAAGAAGGAAATTTGAGATTATATCATAACAGAAGTTATGATGTATTTGAAGGGGCCTGTATAGAAGACCTAGGCATAGAAAGTTTTTCATATTTTAAATCTCATGACTGGTTTCTCTTTGCTTTCATTTCACTTTTATTATGTACTGCTGTTGATTTTAGATTCAGTATTTCTTGTACATAGACATGTATAGAAACTATCTTAGACACTCAAGTTACTATGAGATTGCATGTTTTTGGAATGGAAGGAAATGATGGAAAGCTGGAAAAATACAAGGCCAAGATTTTAAGGGCCTTTATGCTTCTTAAAAGTTCTCTTTTACTTGCTGTGGAAAAAATACAGGCTATCTGTGCATTGAAACTGATGTTGGTTTTCAGTAGTTATGTACTGGAGAGTAAGTTTCACACTGAAACTAGGACAGTTGTAGTTGGAATGACAATTAATGTGCAGAGAGTATAATCCCAGTTGGAAGCTGGTTTTTGAATGGAGTAAAGCCCCTAGCTCTTTTTCTCTCCCGACCCCCTTTTCCTGGTTTGGCCCAAGATATTGGCTCTGGGCTGTGGTGGCTTCCGTTTTAATTAGCTTGCCAAGCAAAAGTTCGGTTATTGTGTCCTTTTGTTGAATTATCCAAAGGTTGTTCTTTTTCATAATGAAGCTTTTGGGACTCCAGGATCCTGCACTGAGATATTGGATGCCAGCTGTCTGTCTTAAGTGAAGATTTAATCTAAGAGGTGACAAAAGGGCAGGGAAACACATAAGAATTGAGAACATTTATCTGCAGAATTGCTAACTGAAGGGAGAAGAGTTGGGATGAAAATGACCCTTCACAAAGTGACATATAGCAAACAGCGTGTTAATCATGTTTTGAGTACTGAAAAATTAAGGAGGGATGGTGGACACTAAATCTTGTCTCAAACTATTATGTAAGGCTTCCAGTGCTTGCTTTTGAAATGAAGTTTAAGAACAATAGCGTCTTTTTAATGTGGCTCAGACCATGGTCAGCAACACAAAGGTGCCCCTTTAGCTCTCTCTTTGGAGCTGTCATGTCACTCCACCACAGGCACAACGCGAGAGAAAAACTTCCAACAGATGTTTTAAAATTAAAATTTATTGTAGCACATGCTTTCTTAATGGCACATGCTTTTTTAATGGCATCAGCGAACATTGGGGTTCTCCCACACAGTTGGTCAATGTGCTCAGGTATGAGGGAAAATGGCAACAGTGTGACAGCAGGCTTCACTCTTGCCTCATACTTTCCCATGGATATCTGCAGCAGGTCCATGCACTTTGAGACCTGGAAGGAAGGGAAATGAAGGCAGAACTCCCCACACTTCCCTCCCCTTGTGACAGTCCACTGATTGCTTGGAAGAGTGCCAGTGACTTTTGAAGAGACCTTTAGAGAATGCTCCTTGTGAAATAAGACTTGTATCCCTATGACTCTTAAGAAAGCACCAATGAAATTATAAGCATTCATATCTGAGGTTTGGCCAACCTACTACTAACATGGGGTGTGCAGAGAACACAGAACGCTTTAGGAGCCAAAACTGGAGCTCCAGAAGGAGGATGAACTCCTTCAGTCACTCTGGCTGAAGTCTGATCCAAACCAATTTGTTCTGTTATGGGGTAGCATGGAAGATTAGCATGGGAAAATACATAGCTTCCTTGTTTTCAGAAGAATACAGTGAATTTACAGGCAACCTATAATCTCATGAGAGAGCAATTTATTGTCCTCAGTGCAAAGATTTTCAAACAGGTTATATATTGTTCTTCCATTGTTTCAATTTCATTGAAACTGGTGGAAAGATTTTTGAACTAAGTAGCTTGGAAAAACTTATTGTAAGAGACAGGATCATGTGTCTAGAAGTAGAATTTCAGAAAGCGATGAATGAAAAAAATCACACGAGGTCACCTTCTTCTAACTGAAACAGTTATGCCATTTAGCATATTGCCATTTGGATGTCAGACAGAGGCTCTTCCCAATCCTATGACTTCTAGCTTGGTAGCTATGAAATTCTTGGTAAATTTGATGGACTGCAGGATTTGTGAAATGCATGCGTAAGAGGCAATTCTTTAATTATGGGGAGAAAATGGGAATCCTATTTCTTATGATGCACATGTTCCATAGATCAACCCTGGAATGGAAAAGCAATTTATAGTAGAGAAGATAGGAAGAAACGGCTGGAGGAACAAGGAAGGGGGGGATAGAGAAGGTAGGCAATTTTAGGAAGTAGATTGAGAAGATGGAAGGGAGGTGGAGTGTATACAGCTTGGCTAACAAGAGCTTTAAAAATCCAGATAAGAATTAAAGTGAGAGGCATAATGAGCAGATGCGATGATAAAGTGGAGATAAGCAATCACAGGCTAGGAGATGGAAAATAGTAGTAAGCTAAAAAGAAAACTGAAAAATCACTTGGAATGATGCTCACCCACATACTTACCTTTATCCCATTACATGATTGGATCATCATGGAGAAAATCTGTCTATGTGGTTGCTAAGAATCGACACGGACTTCATGGTGCATAATCAATCAGTCAGTGCTCTTATGGTGGTACACAATCAATGCTCCTATATATTCTGACTAATATATTCCAGATGCTCAAGAACCTGATTATCTTTCTTGAAATATATTTCTCATAGATGATTTAAGAAGTGAAATGGGTTTCCTCGAAGAGTTGGTGGTTGGAAGTGGCGATACAGTTGAACTTCAGTGCAATACTCCAGGCTCGTCTGCATCTCTCCTCTGGTATAAAGATGGTGTTGGGATTTCACCTACCAATCAGACTCATATTGGTCAAAAACTGTTGAGGATTATAAATGTGTCCTATGATGATTCAGGCCTATACAGCTGTAAAATGAGGCACTCAGTGGAAATGTTTAGGAACTTTACAGTCCGAGTGACAGGTGAGTCAGTTCTTTCATTCTTATGTCTCCTTATTTTTGTCATCTGATTGCCACAAATGTTTGAATTCCACCTCGGATTTTAGTGAAAGTTTACCTTCAACAAGGGATAAGATGATCCTTAGAATGGTTTTCAATATCCGGGGGAGGGGGGGAGTATTGAATTGGATCTTTGATGTTGTGGTCTTTCAGTTGAGCATTTGGTTTCACTCATGTTCCAACTTGGTATTGAAACAACATGTCTTTGACTGCCAGGGTGGTCTATGTGAAAGACCATTCAGTCTAGCTAACTAATTAACATTTCACATGTCCTGTGCTGGACAGTCTTCTCCTTGGCAAGATTCAGTATTTTGCCATCTATGTTAGTAGAAGGGAGATACAATAACATCTGAATACAGGATCCGTTATGCCTATGCCAGCTGGGGGATACTGAGCCTGTTACGTATGTTCTATTGTGTTGCCCTTTTTATGTTGCTTGACACACAGTTTTAATAACCTCCTTATTGTTAAATTATCCTGGCAGGCCTGATGAGGAGAAAGTGCCTCTTATTGGCGGATGTGTCTGCAAAAATGCACAATTGGTATTGCTTTACAGGGCCAACTGTCTGGGCTTCCGAATCATTAAATATTTACACTTGTTCAATCCTGCTGCATCACAAATAAGATTAACCAGTTTTCTTACATCTTTGTGAATTTTAATCCTTTTATTGTTTCACTTTTTGTATGGTGCTTCTTTCTGGTAACTTTGGGTTTTTTTCACAGCTAGGCTTTAGCAGTAAATAAAAGGTTATTCCCATTCCTTATGTTTGAGTTCACACAAGTCTCTTAATCCTACTTAAATACTTATTTTAAAGAGTTTTGCCTTACTGGCGTGAGATTACTTTGGTGAAACCCTGCTTTGATCAAAAGGATTAATGTATATATTTCTTCCATACTCTCAGATAAAGTTTGTTCTTTGTTTGGGTGACATTAGAGTGTACAAATCTTTTTTTGATTGATAGGAAGCATTTTAGTAAGGAAAGGAGCAAAGACAAAGAAATGGGTAGGGCCAGAACTGAATTTCACTGATTTCATTTTAGTTTGTGTTTATTTATCCCATATTTCCTCCAAGAGTTCAAGGTGGTGTCTGTAGCCCTCTCTCCTCCCAATTTCTTCCTGTGAGATAGGTTGGGCTGAGAAATGACAGCCCCCAAGGTCATCCAGTGAGCTTCCATGGATGAGGACTTGAACTAGAGTCTCCTGTATGCTAGTCCAATATTTGATCACCATACCACACTGGGTAATATAATTATCCTTTGTGTATTTAATATTTTTCCCCTTCAGCATATTAAAAAGCATAATTCAAGAGCAACTTTTGAAAGAGCTCCCAAGAGCACACCCTGCACCTGGAGTTTCATGTTATGCACCCTTGGGTTCTAAACTAGAAAAGTTACGTTTAGGCAATGGGAAATGCTTACTGTTCATGCAAGTTGTGGAATGCACTTTGTAAAATGGAAGGAGGGCAAAAGATTCAAGAGAGTTGTCTGAACATGTTATTCAAGTTGCAGCCCAGTGGGATCATAAAAGCATCCCACATGAGCACATGCAAACCATTACCAAACGTTCTCTGAGATATACTATGTATGGGCACACACAAAGCAGTTATTGTATTAACCTAATTTTAAGATTATAGAGTTCAGGTTATTTCAAGCATCTTTTCACGTGTTTATCAGGACAGGATATTTAAATACATTATTCTGGAGGTTATGTAAATAACTATATCAGTTTTATTAATTCATTTTCTTAATTAAATAGGACATTTTATTAATTACCTATTTTAAAAAGGGGACTCACACTTAATTTGTTTGTAACCTAATCCAGATAGTTTGAATAACAAAAGTTTAACTGCCAAGAAACAGTCTGAATCAAACTCTTTTTCTAATTCTGCAAGTTTTTAAAAAGCTTCTTCAAAACCAACTTGATCCAGAATAATAATATAAGAGAGTCATTTTACCCTCCCAAAAAATATTTACCAGCTATTTTTAAAATCAGATCATCCCATAATGAAAGCTTTTCATGGTAAAATGGTCAAAATTATATATGTGATTTAATATTTCCATATATATTTGCATTATTGTGGGAGTATTGAAACTGATCCCCACCCCAGCAGGATCTTTAATACTTGTCAGGATTTCAACAGGATTGGATAATAACTCCCAAGCTGAACCCAAGAGAAGCTGAATTCTGAACTTCTTTATTCCATGCCATTCAGTGTTCAGTAAATTAATTTAAAATAAGCTTATGGAATAAACAGAGAACAGTATCACACTGTAAATCAATCTTGAAGTTAAATTCAGTGTAATCAGATTTATCTTTCCCCAAACATTCAGAAGATACCTGGATTGTCTGAATACATCTTCATTCATTTGCACCAAAACAGGGAATAAATTCAAACTTACCAGTTGAGAATGAGACCTAAGAATTTTCATACTAAGTGAAAGAGAAAATAATCAAAACCCCTAATATTTATAACTATGAAAATTATGGCTATAATCCAGCACCATCAATCCCAATATACTCCAAATTATAAAATCATAAGACAGTACATGAATATATATGATAGTGAATTCAAGTATAATAAAATAAAAATTGGAATAAAAATGCCTGTGTGTACAGTGGAACTTATCTTGTGAATGTAGCAGACTTTTATCCTCTGCCCCTTGACCCAGCCATGAATATTTCAGAATTTCTTTATGCTAGCAAGAAGTTCTGTGGCCAAGTTAAAAAGAATGGTGAAAGATGGTGTTTTGGAGTGACATAAATTTAACCAAGAGGGCAGACCATTAGTAATCAACATTGATTTAAGGGTGGGGTAAACTATCAATCCAAGTATCTATTTTGAGGAAACTTTAAAGGCAACAATAATTAAGCCTTGCAGTAAAAAAACTATGCATTCTCTTCTAGGTTTGGGATTGTTTCATGTCACATTTCCCTCTTTTTATCCTTTACAAAGTGGTATAGAACCATATCTTGTAAAAGTCACTCTCTTGAACATAAGATTTATGAATTGAGGTAGCCCAAAGTTAAGCCTGTTTTGCAGATGTCCAGTTCTTTATTTCTCACCACCGTGCATTAAACAGTATTCTGCAAGTGACTTTAAGGGCATTGAAAGAAACAGTTCTCTGTTTATGAATGAATGCATGAGGCATAAAGAATGACCAGGCTTGCTACTTAGGTTCCTTATTTAGACGAATGATTGGACCCTGTTTTGAATGTTCATGCCAACAGGAATTGGAACTGGGGCAACCAGTAACTTCATATGTTTGGTAAATGGTGCAAGACAAAGCAGGAGTTGAAGCACATTGTTGTTGCTGAATGAGAAAGATTTATACAATCTGAAGAGAAACCAGAGTGAAGGTGGAAGCAGAAATATGTGTGTCTATTTATTTGTTGCATTTATAACCCACCTTTTTTCAGAGCTCAAAGTCACTTAAGCTGGCTGCAGTGTTTTAAAATGTCAGCTGCTTAAATAAGGCCAGGCATCGTCAGGACTGAAGTCTGCCAGGTTACCTGTAGGCCTCAACTATCTAAGGACAGGACTGCAGCCTGAACTTTGACTATTGTCAAAGCACAGCTTTGTCGCGTGCAGGAAAGCAACCATTTTGGGCATATTACCTCCATCACAAGTAGGCTCCAAAGTGTCTGTCGCTTGCTCTTCAGAAAACAGCTGCCCTGCTGGGTTTGGCTGGCCATAAGGCATCCCTGTACCAGCAGGCAAACGGGTGCGGTTTTATGGTGTATCATCTTAGCTTACATTCAGCCAGCCATCTTGTTCATTCTGCAAGGATGTGGTTGGGGTTATGCTGAAGCTGGTGCTTCCTTTTTAAAAATTAAAACCATCTTGTACAAATCAGAAGGCAGGAAACTAACGACAACATCTGCAAGCACATTGCTTAACCTTGGTCTGTGTGTTGTCATCAGAGCATAGCTAATGGGGGCCCTGACACTGTTTGCTGCCCTCATGAATTCCTCAATTTGTAATTGGTATTAATAGCTTTATATTAACATAATCTTCTTTTAATGAATTTCTTTGGCTTCACAAATAAGTCTATATAAATTATTTTGGAACCTTTAAAAGTCACAGCTGAGAAAGCAGGCATGGTGACTGTAAAGAAAAGCTTTCTCCACACTCCATTGGAGAGACTGCATTAAAGTATTGCTGGGCAGTGAAAACTTGCAATCATCTCCCTTCCCTCCCGCAAAAAATCCTATCTTACTGCTGCAACTTGTATCTCATGAAATGCGCAAAGCATTGTGTTAAATTAATATTTAACCCTCAGTAGTCGTTTAGTATAGAGTTTAGTAGCAGGTACCCTCTTAG